CATGCTTCTGCTTGATGGCGCCCTACAGGCTTTTGAGCTGTAAATAGCTAGGTGTAGGCACCTGGGATTTGGTTGTCTGGAGGAAGGGAAGACCCAAAGAACTTGCTCAACTTTCTGTTTCTCGAGTCCCCAGGTGTACAGGTAAGGAGTGCCACCAAGCTTGCTGTAAGTACGAAGTGGAAAGTGCCTGAAGTTCAAATGGAGGTGACTAGGAGGGCAAGTCCTGTCTCCATGCTGGTACCCCTGAAAGAACCTGGAGCCTACATGGCTACTGGAAGTTTACCTTTGTATGGTCTGTCTCAAAGCACAGTCACAGTATGTGAACTCAAGGGAAGGGTCGGGTGCAGGAACAGGGTCTCCCTTAGCTGGACTGTGAGGGGGATAACAGCTCTGACCCTGCACACATGCTCCTCCAGCAAATGCCCCCTCCACCCATGCTCCTCCAGCCCAGGTGCCCCCTCCACACATGCTCCTCCAGCAAATGCCCCCTCCACACATGCTCCTCCAGCCCAGGTGCCCCTAGCCTTGCAGGAGACACTGAGCCTGCAGTTCTCTTGGCTTATGGGGGTCCGAGCTGACTGCCTGGGGCGGGGGGGAGTTGTCGCCTAAACACTCAAGAGGGCCTGGCTTCCATTCCCAGGACTGCAACAGTCATGGAGAAAATGATAGAGGACTGGCCACCCCACTGGCAGTTTCCCAAGTGCCAGGAACAGCTGGAGGCAAAGCAGAGACAGCTTGCTTGGGAGGGAGGCTGAAGATGAGGGCTCTGCTGGCTTAGTTAATTCTGTGGGTTTTCTTGTGGTGTCCTTGGTCCCTCTGGCTCCCATAATCCTTCCTCTTCCACAGGATTTCCCCGAAGTCCGTCTAATATTTTTCTGTGTGTCTCTGCATGTTTCTATCCGTTGCTGTCTGAAGCCTTTCTAATGGTAACTGGGCTAGCTAACAATCTATGAATATAGCAGAATATTATCAGGAATCCTTTCACTGACCATTTTTTTTTGTCATGTTTGGTTGTATCCTAGGTCTCTGGGCTGTCCAGCCTCTGGGTCCTGGCCCTCTAGGCAGGATCAGAGATGGGCTCCCTCTCATGGTATGGCTCTCAAACTGGACCAGTCCCATAATTTCTGTGCCACCTTTGTCCCAGCATGTCTTTTGGGAAGGCAAATTGTAGGACAAAGATTATGTGGCTGGGTTTGGGTCCAGTCACTCCAGAGGAAGTCTTGCCTGGTTACAGGAGATGGCCGGTTCAGGCTCCATAGCTAGGGCCACCCTCATAGATTGCTGGGAGTTTCCACTGCACTAGATTTCTAGCTCACTTCAGAGTTGCCCCTGATTCCCGTTGTCTTTCCCAATGCTCTCTTCCTTCCCCCACCTGATCCCTCCTCTTCCCATGCCCCACCCACCCCATGTAGACCCCTCCCTGGCCCCATCCATCTGTGATGTCTTTTCCATTTCCCCTTCATGTGTCCCCCCTTCAGCACTCCTTGTTTCTTAGCTTCTTTGGGTCTGTGGATTGTAGCATGGTTATCCTTTACTTTATGGCTAATACCATTGCTTTGCCATGTAAGTGAGTACATGCCATATTTATCTGGGTTACCTCACTCATTTTGAGACAGGGTTTCTCTGTGTAGCCCTGGCTATCCTGGAACTAACTCTGTAGACCAAATTGGCCTGGAACTCAGAGATCTGCCTTCCTTTGCCTGGGATTAAAGGTGAGTCCACCACCTCCTGGATGATCACCATCCAGCTCTCTGCTGGGTCCTAATGCCTGCTTTTCCAGTCCAGCATCCCCAAATCTATTTCTCTCTATTCTTTCCTCTTGGGTGACTGCTTTTGTTTCTGTCCAGTGACACTTTTGTTTTTACTTTTCAGTTTCTGTGACATACACAGGCTAAGGATAAAGGACATTCCATAGTATTTAGATTATGAGTAAATTATTCAGAGTGATCTAAATGTCAAGATTGCTTTCAGATTATAAATTAGAGAAAAAGTCAAAGGGAATTTTTACTCGAAGGCTTTTAAATGCTGGATTTTTTTTTTCAGGATTTCTCAGTGTAATAGGCCTGGCTGTTCTGGAACTCACTTTGTAGACTTGGCTGGTCCTTAAGAAAGGCATATGCACCTGGCAGTGGTGATACACACCTTTAATCCCAGTACTTAGGAGACAGAAGCAGGCAGATCTCTGTGAGTTTGAGGCTAGCCTGGCCTACAGAGTAAAGTGCCAGGACATGCAGCATCCAGCATCCAGGGCTACACAGAGAAACCTGTCTCAAAAAAAAAAAAGAAGAAGAAGAAGAAGAAGAAGAAGAAGAAGAAGAAGAAGAAGAAGAAGAAGAAGAAGAAGAAGAAGAAGAAGAGGAAGAGGAAGAGGAAGAGGAAGAGGAAGAGGAAGAGAGAGAGAGAGAGAGAGAGAGAGAGAGAGAGAGAGAGAGAGAGAGAGAGAGAGAGAGAGAGAGAGAGAGAGAGAGAGAGAAAGGAACACTCAGGAATTCAGGAATTCTTGTACAAGGGCCTGGCCTGAACTGGAGGATAAAAATGGGTCCCTGTCAGAGTATGTAACTACTTAGTGACTAAACCAACAAGGTACAAAGTCTCCACCATGGTGAGCTGATCCTGGGGTGGGCTGAGAGTTAGATGGACCAGTTCCTTGCTGGGTGAAGCTACAGAGGCTACTGTGCCACAATTTCTACCAAGTGTTAGCAACAGGAAGCACTTTCAGGGCAGTCCCCAGAGGCAACAGAGGGCACATTAGGTGTCAAGTCATTCACCAGGTTAATCACCAGGGCTCTGAAGTCAGTCTACTCTGTTCTTAGTACCCAGGGTGATTCTCATTCTGGGTTCTGGCTTCATATAGTTTTTTGGGGGACAGGGAGTTCAAGACAGAGCTAACCTGCATAGCCCTGGCTGTCCTGGGAACTGGATCTCTAGACCTGGCTGGTCTCAAACTCAGAGATGTACCTGCCTCTGCCTCCCAGGTGCTGGGATTTAAGGTGTGCACCAGCACTGCCTGGCTCTGGCATCACAGGTGTGCAGCATCCATTTTTTTTTTTTTTGCTCCTTATGTTTTTCCATCTCAGACACCCCTCACCTGGTCCCCATGGCCAGGGGCATTTCCTGAGGCCAGAGGATACTATTATCCTATTGTACCAGTGTCCTTGGAGGCATTCATCTCTGGGACCATGACAACTTTTCCTCCCCCAAATCCCCCTGACACCAGGGATGACCCTAGACCTCTCCAAATCGAGGATCCACCCTGACTGCTTCCTGTCACAGGTACTACTTGCACAACCTTGAAGGCTTGGCCTCATGGCTTTGTAGTGAAATGCAAGAGCAGGTGGATATGAACAGCCAGTTCCTGCAGGGAGAGATCTTAGATAAAGCCGCTGACCATGCCTGCTTTGGGGTGGCTAGAGGTGCTTATTTTACAGTGACAAGTTCCCGTTGAAAAACAGAAAAAAAAAAAAAAACCAGTAGCCTTGGCTGCATACAGGCCCAGCGAGTGTCTGAAAACTTACTGGACAGCCTGAAAGGCCCCATGAACTGTATGTAACCTATTTCAGTTGAGTGACACTAGATTCAGGGCCACATAACAAGTGTGAAACTCCCCAAAGCTTCCAGCCTGCGCATCTGGAGACCAGATCGGCACGATGGGCACAAGAGGAACAGGAAATAGGGCCAACTCTGCTCGCCAGTTGTGGCTGGAAATTAGAATTGCTTTCTGGAATTTCTGCAAGTGACTGACACTAGGATAGTTTCTGATGATGGATTGGCTCCAGAATGAGGCAGAACCTGAATTCTGAACTTTTTAGAAGCTATCCGTGATTCATGTGGGCCCCAGGCCCCCTGGTAGACAGGCTCATCTCTTTGAATCTGGCTGTCTCCGGCCCTGTGAACTGTGGGGAGTGGGAGTTCCTAATCACTGGAAATGGTTTAACCTCTGGTTTTGAGATCATGTGAGGATATAGCAGAACAGTGGTCATCATATTACACGTGTTCAACGAGCTTGGTAAATGGGGCTTCTGGTGTCTCATGGAGCTGGTGGGGTTCACAAGAAAGTGGCTCTTAGGACAAACCAAGTGTTTTAAGGATTGGTGTCATCAAAAAATGGAGCTATAGGGCCGGGCGGTGGTGGCGCACACCTTTAATCCCAGCACTCGGGAGGCAGAGGCAGGCGAATCACTGTGAGTTCGAGGCCAGGCTGGACCGACAGCCTCCAAAACAATACAGAGAAACCCTGTCTCGTAAAAACCAAAAAAAAAAAAATAGGGGGCCTGGTCCTGAGTCCCTATGGCCAGAGACGCGATGGCAATACGGACCTAAGGAAGACTGAAGGAGGAAATGGGAGATGGCAGGGGACTCAGCAGTGGGCAGTTGTGGAAATCCCTCTTCCCTGGGACACTCTAGACAACACTAGCTGCTCCCTGCTGACAGGCTGGATATGCTCATCCGGGTAGACTAAAGAATGAAAGTGGGAAGAACCTTGACCAAGACTTCTCATGCTCCAAGAGTCCCCCAAAGTCACCATTCAGCTGCCTTCTCAGATACTAGGCAGCATTAGCTCATCAGACACTCAAACTCTTCTGTCAGGAGGCGTGACCCCGATACCCCTTGGGATGTTTACTTGCAAGAATTGACTGACCTGTGTTTACAGTCTTGTTATCATCAGAGCCTAAAGAAAAATACAGTACTAAGTGTTTTGGGGGATGTCTCCACTTACAGGCACACAGCAGCTGATTGTGGATACAGGTGTTCAAGCAGGTGCTCACCCCAAGTCTAGACAGGGGCTGTCTCAGGTTAGGTAGAAGCAGATACTCCTACTGGATTGATCCGGGTGCTCACTGCCACTCACTCATGAGCTTATAAAGCTTAAAGACTCTAAAAGGAATGCTTTTCAGTCCCCATTCCCAAAGCACAGACCAACAGCTAAGACTCATCTGGGGATAAAGCTTAGACCCATTCAGTACAGACTACAAAAATATACACGGATACCTTAAGAAATTCAATAGCTTTATTTTTTCCTCAATACACAATTAGGAGATTAGTCTGAGAAGAGGTTTTGTGAAGTAAACTACAGGAGTATGTACAAAATCAGATGTGCATGGCGGGAGCCCAGCCACCTAGAGCCTGCCCATCAGAGGGGAGGCAAGGTCTTTGATGGTTTTGGAGTTCAGCTGTGGGATCGTGCTGATCTTCAGGAGTCTGCTGCTGGCATACTTGTTCTTGACAGCCTGCGGAAGTCAGTTGGGGTTTAGTAAGTCTCGGGACAGCCCAGCATACCTAGTCTAACCTGCAAGTGTGAAGGTCTATGGTTGTCATCTCCAGACAGCCTGATGATGCACAACCCCTGGGCCTCTTCCTCATACACTCTGCACCAAGCTGCCTCCTCCAACCCCGCTGGTCACACAGACAGGGGAAACAGTTTTAAGATCTGAGGACCAGGCCCTCTTAGGAGGAGAGGTGAGGGCTCTCTGTCATTGGTAAGTACCACTGGGACTGACAGCACAGACTGGAAAAGGGCTGGAGAGAGGGTTCTACGGTTGAGAGCACTGGAGGTTCTTCAGAAGGACATGGGTTCAATTCCCAGTGGCCACAGCCATCTATAACTCCACTCCTAGGGAACTAGACACACTCTTCTGGCCTCTACAGGCACCTGGCATACATGTGACAGGCAGTCAAGACACTCATAAACGGTTTTCTAAAAATGGAACTAAAGGCTGGGTGGTGGTGCCTCACGCCTTTAATCCCAACAGAGCGAGCAGAGGCAGGCAAGTGCATCTCTTGAGTTCGAGGCCACCCTGGTCTGCAGAGTGAGTTCCAAGGACAGACAGGGCTGTCTTGAAAAACAAAAGGCAATAAAAGTGTGTGGCAACGAGAGCTTCACAAATCCCAGCCACTGTGACTCCACGGTTCAGTCACCAGAATTACACGTCAGCAAGATGATGAGGTAAGGACACAAATGCTTTGTTCTTTGTCATTGGCCCCTCAGGGATATTCTGATATTTTGTGTCCCACAGGCATAGCACACCCCGCCCCACATTTCCCCCTCATAGGTCCCTCTCTCTTCTCCATGCTTGTTCAATAGGAGCCTTTTCAAAAGGCCTGGATGCAGGCCCTGAGTAACATCAGCTGAATTTGAGTTCACTAGAGGGGACCCACTCTTCCCAGACCCATGGCAAACAGCCTTCCCTGCATCCTGTGTGCCTACTCAGGATGCTAATGCCAAGTGTGAGAACCCATGGGCTGGCTGGCCAGGTGCCGAGGGTTAGATCAGTACATTCCATTCCGTAGAGACTATGCTGTAAGACCACCAGGCTTGCTAGCAACACACTTGCACACACAGCCCAGAATCGAAGGCTCTCCCACGTTCAGGACAGCAGCACTTACGATGAACTTGGTGAGGTTTTCGTTGACTTTCACCACGTTCTTGGCCATGTGCTGCATGACTTCCAGTACTTCAGTCTCCATGTATCCGGTGTAATACTGCTGCTTTAAATTCTGAAATGCAAGCAGAAGTCATGAAGGGCCGGCAAAGGCTTCCTTCCCTTCGGAAAAACACACACCACATCTCCCATGAAAGAGGTGTGAGGGAGCCTGTATCCCGGCCATTGCTCAAGGTCTGTCAGGATACCTTAGTGAAACCCTGTATCAATGTGGAAACAGCTGGAGGAGATACAGTTGTGACAGCATGTGTGAGGGCCTGGGGTCAACCCCCAAATATGAGTAGAAACTAAAAACGGCATCAGGAAAATTCTTACCTTGTAAAATCCAGTCCAGCCTAATCACTTCCCCAGCATCAAGCTATACAGTGTGCTTCTGTCCCCGGGACAGGACTAGCTTAGGGCAGTAAGAGGCTCTCAGTCTTAACAGACCAAGTGCTCGTGGCAAGTTTGAAAGCAGCTGCACAGGTCTGGAGGGTACTCCAAGCAACAAGCATCCGGCCACCCCTGGCTGGGAAAAGGCAGGTGCAAACACATACACCAGCCCTCTGCCCAGAGTGGTACCCGCCTCACAGGCGGGATGGCAGTGCTAGTCTAAGCACAGTGACAATTCTGACTTGAGAAGTGGCTGTGTCAGTTAAGTACATGCCTCGCAGACACAGGGCCCTGAGCTCATACTACACGGACTCCTTTCTTAAACTCACCCATTTGCCCTGGCCCAGCACCTTCTGAGAAAGGCAGGAAGCAGCCGCTGCGACCTGAGAAGGGTGATAGTGCACCATGTCATAGTCGATGAGCGTTAGCTCCATCAGATACTTGGCTAGCGTGTGTTGTTCCACGTCCACCTAGGAGAGAGCAGCATGTGAGCGCCACAAACTCAGCCCACTTCACCCCCATCACACCCCGAGTTCAGGACACACCCTTCTCAAGAAGACCGTGAGTTCAGGACATCCTTGTCAAGGACACTCTGAGTTAAGCACCAGACGCTCCCTAAAGCTTTCTCTTAGATATTTTGGAGTGACACAGAGAACAAGCCTGTCCCACAGAGACAGGGCCACTCACCTCCCCAGCCTTTGAGGCTCGCCTTAAGAAGTGGAGCGGCAAAGGCCGACCCAACTCAAATTTTAGCTCTTTCAAAATCAGAGTCTCCATTTCTCGGATTTGGGAACTGGTGTAAGCATTGTCTGTGATATAAACAAAGTCTTCGATATTTGGAGAAAACATCTCCTCGTATTTGGAAGCCAAGAGCAGAGCCGTGATCCCAACCAGCTGCAGCTTCTTCCGGCAGACCGGCTGCGCCTAATTGAAAACAAACACACCTGGAGTCACCACTGACCAGCTCGACTAGGGCTCTGGGTGGATGGTATGAAGAAAGCAAGCTCTTGCAAGACACAGGAGACCTAAGGGGTGGCAGTAAGAGCTGTTACTGAGTAGTAACTGTGCTGAGCATAGTGATAAAATTCCAACATGCTAGCTCACTGGGTCCTCCCAGATGACATGATACCAGAGATTCAGGTAATGGTCCCAAGGGTCTGCACAGCCTTGACCAGTACTTAGTGTGGTCTGTACAGAGATAAATCACAGCAAAAAGTGATGGGCTGAAATACTCTCTACTCAAAGTACACCCATTAACCACCGTGAAAAACCTCTTGTTAAAACAAATTGCAACACACACACACACACACATACATACACACACAAATCTCTCACGAATGCGGCAGAGTTGGGGGGAACGGAACTGCAGTGTGTAAGTGTGTGCTTTAAATGTCCTAAAATGGGCTGGTGAGATGGCTCAGCGGTAAAGGCTTGATGACTGCCACACCTAGACCTGAGCTCAGGCTCCAGCACCCACACGGTAGAAGAGCACCGACTCTCAAAGCTGCCCTCTCACCTCCACAGGGGGGGCAAACACTAAGACTTTCTTTTTTTGTTTTTTCTGTTTTGTTTTTACAGACAGGGTTTCGCTGTGTAGTTTTAGAGCCTGTCGTGGCACTGGCTCTGTGGAGCAGGCTGGCCTCAAACTCAGAGATCCGCATGCCTCTGCCTCCTGAGTGCTGGGATTAAAGGCGTGCGCTACCACTGCCAAGCAAATGCCAGTTTCTTGAAACAAGAGGTGAGGAGGGGAAGAGACACCCACCTCAGGAGGTAAAGGCACCTGCTCCCAAGCCTGGTGACCGGAGTTCAATCCCTGGAACCCACATTGAAGAGGTGAGAACCAAGTTGTCCTCTCTAGCTTCATGCTCTGGCACACCTATGCCATGCCTTAAGCATACACAAGTAAAAGTGTGGGTTGTTTTAGTTTTTGTTTTTAAATTACTTATTTCATGTGCATTGGTGTTTTGCCTGCATGTGTATGTCTGTGTAAGAGTCTCAGGTCCCCTGGAACTGGAGTTATAGACAGTTGTTAGCTGCCTTGTGGGTGCTGGGAATTGAACCTGGGTCCTCTAGAAGAGCAGTCAGTGCTCTTAACCATTGAACTATCTCTCCAGCCCCTTTAGTTTTTTTTTTTTTTATACTGGGACTTTGCTTTTTTTACTTCTGCTTTCATTACTGGACATCTACACACAAAATAACATGTCTTTCTCTGCCCAATAAGGATGCTGAGAACCCTGCAATCCATCAGCTAGAATTCGAAAGTGTCTCACAGCCATTATTTTAAGTGATACTTATCACTATATTGTTAGGGCAGAATCTGTACGAGACCTGACCATATATTATGAGTATTGACTTTTAAGTCAGTCTTTGTCTACAAGGGTGCTTTGATGGATAATACGCTAGCCCTGTTTGTTTGTTTGTTTTAAAGATTTATTGTATGTGTATGAGTGCTCTACCTCCATGTACACCTTTATGCTAGAAGAGGGCGCCAGATCTCATTATAGACGGTTGTGAGCCACCATGTGGTTGCTGGGAATTGAACTCAGGACCTCTGGAAGAACAGCCAATGCTCTTAACCGCTGAGCCATCTCTCCAGGCCCGCCCTGGTTGTTTATTGTCTGGCATCTGGGCTGGGGTGGAGCTCTGTGGGAGAGTTGCTGGCCTAGCAGGCCCCTGTCTGATGCCTTTTCTAGCCACTCAGCGTCTTGTGCATTAACAGCTGATAAATGTTTCCAAGGTGACTCGAGTGTCTCAGCCACTCCCTACGTTCCTCCCCCCCCTCCACTCCAGGTTCTCAGTCTGTTCCACACCTGCATCCCCGCTCTTTGTTTTGGCCTCTTCTCAAATTTCTACAGTGATTCATTGCCACAGCTGAGTAGGAGCCAAGATTCTTAGCTGGGTGGTGGTGGCGCACACCTTAGAGGCAGATGAATCTGTGAGTTCTAGGCCAGCCTGGTCTACAAAGTGAGTTCTGGGACAGCCAGGGCTACACAGAGAAACCCTGTCTCAACACAAAACAAACAAACAAACAAAAAAAAAAAACAAGGTTCTCTCACTCAGCTCATTCTGAGATGAGGAAGCGTTGACACTGAAGAGTAGCAGAGTGTGGGCGGGGCTGGAACACCAGCATCAAAGGCACCAGAGGCTCTGCTCACCTCTGTGACATGTGATGGTATATACTTCCCTAATAAATGACTGCAGTCATGCAGGACCCATTGAACACTCTTTTATAAACCTAAACTCCTTTGACCAAAATACCTGTCCTTATGTGATAAGTGGTGGTCAAAACATAAACATACTAAAATTACTGTATAAAACTACATTTAGGCTTGCAATATAGGGTATACATATAAGAACCCACACAGTGACCTCAGGATTAGACCTGAGGCACATTCCAAGATACTTCCATTATCTATGTGCAAATCAAATCAAATTAAATTTAAAGAGGGGCTGAAGAAATGGCTCAGTGGTTAAGAGCACTGGCTATTCTTCCAAAGGACCTGGGTTCAATCCCCAGCACCCACATGGCAGATCACAACTGTCTAACTCCAAAACCTGACACCCTCACACAGATGTACATGCAGGCAAAATACCAATGCATATAAAATAGTAAAAGAGATAAAAAAAAAAAAGACTTTGGTCTCAAGTACTTCAGGAAAGGGCACTGAGTATGTGTGTCCTGGAGCCTTTGCTAAAAGGATGGACCAGAGTTGGTTTTCGGCATCAAAGGTCCGGCACCTGTGGCCTACTTCTTCATTTTGGCAACTGCAGTTCTCTGGCATTTCAGCTAGGCTGCCAGTCTTTTCCTTCAGAGGGGCCTCAGCTCAGCTTCCCATTTCAGAAGCATCAACAGAGCTAGCACCACAGCCCTGAGACCCCACTCACCTGTAGGAACCGGTCCATGATGGCAATGCACATGTAAAGAGTTTCCTGCAGAAGCCTAAACTTGGAATGGACTTGGACCAGCCAGTCCACCAGGATGGCACGCATACGTCCATTTATATCTCTTCCATCTAAGAAATGTGGGTTGATGGACTGCAAAACCTGTTGGTGCAATTCAAAAGTTTAACGAGTTGATGTCATTTCCTCTCCATACCCCTGATAAAGTCCACATCGCTAGTCTAGTGCAACCCAAACATAAAGGCCTGCCTACCTCAAGCTGCCTGAGATACTGGTAGATGTCCTTCACGTAGTCGCTGCAGAGCTGAGGGTTCTCCCAGTCTTCGTTATCTATATCCTCGATCTTGCAGAGCAAAGCATCAGAGAAAGCTTGGCAGAGGTTCTCTTCCTTCATGGAGACATCCTCAGGGGCAGGAGGATCCTACACCAGTAAGTGGAAGACTTGAATTACTGCACTGCTGGAGAGCCTAGTCCTGCATCCCACACTGTTTACATAACTGGCTTGTTTTCTGTCTCCCGGTGAGTTTCTGTGTATTTAGTTAGCTTTGCTCACACAGTAGGTGCTTAACAATGAATGAGTGACCACTGAGGTCAGAGAACACTGAACTGATGGCTCCCTGGCAGCAACCTCTCCTGCAATCATGTTTTCTCTCTTCCACTACTTCCTTCTAAATTTAGACCCTGGCAAGCAGAAGCTTATTCTAGTCTGTGAATAAGCAGGCAACGACCAAGGTTTAGAAGGCTGCGGTCTGGATCTTTTTGTTTGCTTGTTTGTTTTTTCTGGATCTTATGTACTTATGCTGACAGGGTGGTTCTTTGTAAACTCACACAAATGAAAAACTTATGTGGCGCCGGGCATTGTGTGGCACACGCCTATAATCCCAGCACTTGGGAGGCAAAGGCAGACAGATCTCTGAGTTCAAGGCCAGCCTGGTCTACAGAGCGAGTGCCAGGAAAGGCTCCAAAAACAAAACAAAAAACCAAAACAAAAACAAAAAAAACCTTGTGTGACTCAAACAAAGATTTGTTTTGTTTTTCTGAGACAGGGTTTCTCTGTGTAGCCTTGGCTATCCTGGAACTCACTCTATAGACCAGGCTGGCCTTGCACTCAAAGAGATGCCTCTGCCTCTGCCTTTGCCTTCTAAGTGCTAGGTTTAAAGGTGTATGCCACCACGGCCTGACTCAAACAAATTATTTCATAATGAAGTATAAACCATTATTTGAAAAATAAGCGGCTCTTCTTAAAGTGACTAGCAGGACTTACTTCTAGACCACAAAGAATACTGCTAAAGGAGTAAACAAAACCAGAGCATAGTTCTACAACCCAGCAGGGTTAAGAGCTGGAGGTGCTGACTCTGGCCCGCAGTCCCCGCTCTAGGGAGGTTGAGGTAGGAGGATAGTCGGGAACTGGAATCCAGCCTGAGCGAGAAAACGATTCAAAAATAGCAAAAACTAAAAACCACACAGCGAATTTTGACTAAGTTGAAGATTAATAAACAAGGGCTGGAGGGCATGGGAAGAGGCAGTTCAAAACACGATCCAGACCAACAAAGGCTAAGCAGGCATGCCTGCCATTCACTGAGAATTCACAAACCTCGGAGAAGCAGAATAAATGAGATGCATGTCCTGGGGACAGTGAGCTCTTCAAGGACTCCTCACTGTTAAGACATGTCACTAAGTACTGAGGCCCACTGTGCCATGCTCTGTTCAGGGTCTGCTGCAGAGTTTTAATAAATGAACCCAAATGAGGAGGTCAGTGCTTAAGACAGCCTGGGCTACATAGTGGGAGCCTGTCTCTAAACGGTAGTGGTAGCAGTTAAAAGTAGCATAATAAGACAAGGATGGTGACAGGTACTGCAACATCTCACCTGTGTGACCTGAAAACTCAGATCTCACTCAGAGCTGGTAGAATGGTTATCAGATACCTGAGAGTGCATAGGGAGGGGCAGGGCTAGGAGCAAGGGTCAGTGGGTTCTAAGTCAAGGGAGTCAGAGGTATGCTACTACATCACAGGGCAGCAACAGACAGCAACCACACTGCTGGCCAGGCCACACCATATTGAAACACCCCCCTTTTGTGTTTTTGAGACAGGGTTTCTCTGTGTAACCGCTCTGACTGTTCTGGAACTTGATTTGTAGACCAGGCTGGCCTCAAACTCACAGAGATCGACCTGCCCCTGCTTCATTGTTGGGATTAAAGGCATGGACCACCACTCCTTGCTAAAGCTTCTCCATTTTAGGTGAACACTGACAATTGCTGAAACTAAAGTACTCTGGCTTCTAGAGCTAAAGCAACTTGTTTTTCTAGTTTCCTGCCTCCCCACTGACAGCACACTCACCTTGTCTCTATAGCTACCCTCAGTAACGGCCAGCTGCAGACAAAAAAGGAAGACTTCTAGTTCCTTTCCACCCTACAGCTACCCCCATCCTGTAAGCCAAAAGCGTTCCAATTCTTACAGCAGAGACCCCTCGACAGGTCCATTCCTGAATGCAGCCTATGCTGTTACTGAGTGGCTGTCCCTCTGTCTTTCCCTCAGACAACCTCACAATGTGCTGCACATTTCTTCAAAGCTTAGGGGAAGGAAGGACTCTGAGTGTCTCACCAGTAAGAATGGTCCAGGAGATAAATGTTAAGCTTCATTTGCCTGGTGTGTGTGTGTGTGTGTGTGTGTGTGTGTGTGTGTGTGTGTGTGTGTTTCAAGAGGTCACATGATTACTCAAGAGTGTCATTTTTATGCATTAGTTAAAAAATAAAAAATATGATAAACATGCAATTTAAACATCATTAGTTAGGGTCAGCAACTCAACATTTGCCCTTAAAAATGAATTAAGAGCAATTTTAAAATGACAGAATAAGCAAATTAAAACCTTCAAACTAGACTAACAAAGAGGCCTATTGGTTGTCATGGACAACTGAAAGGCCAATCAGAAGCTGAGGACGGATTGCCATCTGACTTAAGGAGCCTCTAATTTGGAGGGATGGGTGGGGACTGTCAGAAGGGGAGCACAGGGAACACTCTGGTTTTGACGGTGGCTCCTATGCTGCCCTGCGCGCTGTTCCTTTGTTCTGACACAGGGTCTTGCTGTGAAGCATCAGGCTGTCCTAGCCCTTACAATCCTCAGTGCTGGGGCTACAGGCCACACCATGCTCAGTAATGGAGAAGCCCCGCAGGGAGGGGCTCCGTGAAGAGCCGCTCCGAGTCTAAACAGCGGATGACCTGTCACAGTGAACAAGCACACTCATTCACTCAGAGCAAGGTGGCGTGGAAGCAGAACCTTTACGTGACCATCTTCAGGAGCACGGCACTCGGTACCAGGAGGCAGCAACAAGGAGGCTCAGCTCTGTGTGCTTGTCTCCCTGTTTCCCTGTTTTGTAGATGTTTCTTGTGAAGTTTGCTCCATTTATTTAAAAGACCAGAGCACTGTGCTTCTTTTCCTTTCTCTTCCAGGGTTTATTTATTCATTTTCTTCTTTCTTTTGAGGCAAGGTCTCATGCAGCTCAGGCTGACCTTGAACTCCGTGACCTTGAACTGATCCTGCAGCCCTAGCCTCTCAGTGTGGAGATATATGCCTCCACACAGTTTCTGGAATTGAGATTCTTAGCTTCCTGGTCTGCCTGGGTCTTAAGAAATTTGCTTGCCGGGCTGGAGAGACAGCTCAGAGGTTAAGAGCACTGGCTGCTCTTCCAGAGGTTCTGAGTTCAATTCCCAGCACCCACATCGTGGTTCACAACCACCCATAATGAGATCTGGTGCCCTCTCTTGGCCTGCAGGAATACATGCAGACAGAACAATATATATATATATATATATATATATATATATATATATATATATATATATAATAAATCTTAAAAAAAAAGAAACTTGCTTGCTTTGTGCAGCAAATACTTCTTTCTTCAAACTATTCAGTGTTTACTGAATAAAACACTGGTTCCCGCTCTTCCAAATGCTGTGTGAGAACTGCTGTGAATGTCCGAGTCAAGTCTCAGCCATCTGAGAAGCAGCTGCCTCACACACAGCAAGAAGCTCCCCCACCACGTTCACACAGCTAGGATTTTGGGAACACCTGCTTTTATGGACACAGGGATCACTAGCTTCCTATGGAAATCACTAGAACCCCTATGCTCCATTGGTATGTGCACAGCTCCAGGGACTGTCTGTAAAGTGGCAGCAAACAGAGCAGGTAATAACCAGTGCCAGGCACAAGGAGGGCTCTCCTGCCAGAGGTGGGGTTCTTCTACCTACACTGTGGAATTGATGGTCCCTTTGCTACAGTCATTCTGAAATCAGTGTGTCTGTGTGGGAGTAACTGCTCTGCCCTGCCCTGGCAACTTCCAAAGTCACAGCATCCAGCACATCCTAACTATATAGTGGTATTTTAAAGACTGTTTTAATACATATATTTTTGGGATGCACATGAGTGCAGGTGCTCACAGTGGCCAGAAGAGGGCACTGGTAGAATATGCTGAAGCACAAGTGCTGGGAACCAAGTCCTCCAGTCCTCTGTAAGAGTAACATGTGCTCTTAACCACGGAGTCATCTCTTTAGCTCCTCGAAGTGATTTTACAAGGACCAAGCTCTTAGCCCATGTTTTGTCTGAAACAGGTGGGCTTGATTTTGTTAGGAAACAGAAAAAAGCAGCCAGCCATGGGATAGAGGAAACCAGAAAGAGGGAGCATTCCTTCTTTTATAAAAGCTCTTGTTTTCCAGTGCTGACGAATGAACCCTGGGCCTCTTGCATGCTAAGCACATCTTCTCCATCTGAGCTATTGCCATCCTGATTGATACAGATGCCTTTCTCCTTTGCTTCAGTTTTAGGTAAAAGCCCAAATTAATTAATTAATTAATTATAGTTTGAGGTAAAGCCATATGTCCTGGGCTGGCCTCGAACTTTGATCCTTCTGCTAGGATTACAGATGGCCACCACCATGACTAGTTCATGCAGTTTTGGACATTGAACCTAGGGCTTCGTGTATAAAAGCAAACGCTCTACCAACTGAGCTACTTGGCGTGCCCCCAAAGCCTGAATTCCTTAAAGTCAATATTCAAAAATAAAACTACCATTAATATTTTACATAAATGCATGCTTTTAAGAGAAAATCTGAGCCAGGTGGTGCGCACCTTTAATCCCAGCACTCGGGAGGCAGAGGCAGGTGGATCTCTGTGAGTTCAAGACCAGCCTGGTCTACAGCATGAGTTCCAGGACAGCCTCCAAAGTCACAGAGAAACCCTGCTCCCTCACCTCCACCCCCCTGCCAAAAAAAAAAAGAAAAAGAAAACCGCCTCCAACCAAAAGAGAGCAAATCTGATTTTACACAGTACATGTTATAATCTGATTTTGTAACTTAATTTTCCAAACATTTCAGCATCTTTAAATGCTATAACCAATTCATATTTATGGCTGCATAGTATCTCATTAAATATATTGAATGGCTCTCCCAGTTAAGATCATTTCTGTCCTACAGATATTCATTGGCCAGGCATGGTGGTGACACATGCCTATAGTTCCAGCACTTGTGAGGCAATGGCAGGGAGAATATTGAGTTTGAGGGCATCCTGAGCTACACTGAAAGAGAGGGAAGGGAGGAAGGAGGAGACAGACGGCTCTTATAAGATGGTTCAGTGGCTAAAGGCACTTGTTGCCACCCTAACCCTAGGACTTTCATGAAGGAAGGAGAAAAGCAACTCGGTAAAGTTGTCCTCTGACCTCCAAATGCACACACATAAAGCAACATTTTTAAAAAGTAAGGGGGAGCCTAGAGATGTGGCTCAGTGGGTAGACATTAGCCTAGTATGCTTGAGGTCCTAGTATCCTCAGCATCACAAAATGCACATGGTATTTCTCATTGTGCCTAGGGCTTGCCAAGGTAGAAAGAAGCAAGAGGATCAGAAGTTCAAGGTTACGCTAGGATACACAGAGTTTGAGACCAGCCTAGGCTACATGAGATCTTGCATCAAAGCAGACACAGACACACACACACACATACACACACACACACACACACAAAGAGAGATAAAATCCAGACCCTAACTCCTACTATTCCAACTGCAACGTTCTTCCCAACTTTATTTCCTGCTTCCTTTGACAAGCCTCTGACTAGCGTGGACCTGCAGACTCCTTGACCACAGGATTATGTCTGATTATATACAAGTCTATTGCATCTTGGTGCTGTGATGTTGTTAATGCCCTTTATCACTAAAAAAGGCACTGTCTTAGTTAATCGCTATTGCTGTGGTAAGACACCACGACCAAGGCAACTTCCAGAAAAAACATTTCATTTGGGTCTCACAGTTACAGAGGGTGAGAGCCTATGACCATCATGTCAACAGGCAGGCAAGCATGGTGCTAGAGTAAGTAGTAGCTGAGAACTTACATGGTGGTCCACAAACACAAGGCCGAGAGAGCTAAATGGGAATGGTGTGAAATTGTGCAATCTTAAAGCCCACCCCTCGTTACAGCACCTCCTCCAACAAGGTCACACCTCCTAATCCTTCCCAAACAGTTCCACCCACTGGGAACTAACTGTTCAAATATATGAGTCTATGGGACTATTCTCATCCAAACTCCCACAGTCACCTTTGCCTGTCAAGGTTTTTCAGAATCGTACTGGAGCTGGGGAGATGGCTCAGTTGGTAAAGTGCTTGTCCAAGTTTGAGCCCCAGAATCCAAATCAGTATAAAAAAGAGCAGTGGGAGCACATGTTAGGGAGTCTGAGACAAATATTAGGGGACTCACTGGCCAGTCACCATTGCCTACTGGGTGAGTTCTTAGACAGTGAGAGATCGTGTAAGGAAAAAGGAAAAAAAAAAAAAAAAGAGTCAGGCCTAACATGATGGTCCAGGCCTTTACTCCTAGCACTCAAGAGGCAGAGGCAGGCAGACCTATGAACTCCAATCCAGCTGGGGCTACGTAGTGAGACCTTATCTCAAAACAACGATACAAAAAACAAAACAAAACAGTCCATGCCACCAGAGGAACAGCATCTAAGATTATCCTCTGACCACACACACACACACACACACACACACACACACACACACACACACACACACACACACACACACACACACACACACACACGCCCATACCTCTGAGCACCAAGTAGCCCTGGGCCATGGAATCCCTTAGAATCAGTGCCCTCCTTGAGGTATCTTCCGCAAACTGAGGGATACTCAAGCCATCTGACACTGCAATACCTAGAGTCATTAGTGACACTCTCTATGGTTGCTAACTTTGTTTCTTGGAACATATGTCCCTCCTAGATAGCTTCCTGAGGCAAGAAATCTCTAGAACCTTAACACAACTGGATGTGGACAGTAAGTGCTCAACCTAGGTATTTCTCCAATATGTGTGAAGTTTCACTTTTAAGTTTCAATCATGCCATCACACACACACACACACACACACACACACACACACACACACACGCAGCACGCACAGAGACAGAGAGAGAGGAGAGAGGGGGGGAGAGAAAGAGAGAGAGAATGAGGTGCTTATTGCTATATCTTGGCACTCAATGTCTTTCTCATAGTAATTATATATGAGAGCATGCACACACTTGACCTTATGGGAAACAGGGTAAGCCACCATTAATCAATGTAGAATTATGGGGTTACTGCCAGGTGGTGGCTCACACCTTTGATCCCAGCACTCAGGAGGCAGAAACAGGAAGATCTCTGTGAGTTCAAGGCCAGCCTGGTCTACAAAGCAAGTTCCAGGACAGTCAGGGCTACACAGAGAAACCCTGCCTTGAAATACCAAAAAGAATTATGGGATTACCTCACTTGTACGTGAGTTTCAAACTTCAGAGTGGTGGGCTTCCAGTTGTTAGGAATGCCATTCCTACTGTGTAGTATTTGAATAAAAGCCACCAAGTTGTGGGCTGGAGAGATGACACAGCAGTTACCAGCACTGGCTGCTCTTCCAGAGTACTGTGGTTTGTTCCCAGAACCCACATGTCAGCTCACAACCATTCGTAACTTTAGTTACAGGGGATCGATCCTATGTCTTCATTTTGCCTCTTAGGGCACCAGACTCGAAGGTAATACATAAACATACATGCAGGCAAAACACCCATACTTGTAACATTAAAATTAAAGAATTTAAACGCATGCAGCTAAGTCCAGGGCCTCCTACCTTCGGAGCCAGGGTCTCCATCTGTACCGGTTTCACAGAGGCTGTAGGTTTCGGCTGTTTGTTGACATGTGTCACTTTGGTGGGCTGAACTGGTATTTTGGTGTTCTGAGGTTTCTATAAGAGAAAAACCAGTGAGCAGTGTGCCAACCAGTGCAGCCTGTACAGTGGGACTCACCACATGTCACCTCGCCCTTCTTACCTTAGCCACTGGGGCTGCTCGGCTTCTAACTTTATTTCCAATTTCTTCTAAAACTGCCCGCCGAATGGTCACATGGCTCTTAGCTTTAGGATTAACTCCTGTGTCAATATTCTTCAAATCACTGGACACCTTAAAACAAAACAAAAACAAAAACGGCAGCCCACAACAAGTAAGCACACAAACAAAAGAAAAGTTAAAACAGAGAAAATGAAAAATACCTACCTACCTAATGTCAGAAACTCCAATTCAGAATTGCTCTGGGAAAGGTGATATACTGAAATCTATTTATAAAGGGGAAAGTGGGGCAGGACATGGCTCCCAACAGTTAAGAGCATTGGCTGGCTGCTCCTGCAATGGACAAGCCCAGCAGCAACCACAGGGCTGCTTACAACTGCCTGTAATGTCAGTTCCAGGGAACCTGACGCCCTCTTCTGGCTCCTGAGAGTACTGCACATACATGATGTACACTATTTTCATGCACATATAACTTTTTTTTTCCTGAGACAAGGTTTCTCTTTGTAACAGACTTAGCTGTTCTAGAACTAGCTCTGTAGACCAAGCTGGCCTAAAACTCACCTGCCTCTGCCTCCCAAGTGCTGGAAGTAAAGGCATGTGCCACCACTGCCCAGCCAAAAGCTTCATTTTTGTTTCTCTGTGTAACTGCCCTGGCTGTCCTGGAACTCACTTTGTAGACCAGACTGGTCTCAAACTCATAGAGATCTGCCTGCCTCTGCCTCCTGAGTGTGCATCACCACATCCGGTGTGCATTGGTGTTTTACATGCACTGGTGTTTTGTCTGATGTATGTCTGTGTCTAATCTTGGAATTATAGACAGTTGTGAGCTGCCATGTGGGTGCTGGGAATTGAACCTCAGTCCTTTGGAAGTGCAGGCATGGCTTTCAACCACTGTGCCATCTCTCCAGCCCCCCAAAAGCTCTTTTTTTTTTTTAAGGGCAAAGGTGCATTTTAGGGAAATCTAAAAATGCTACTTGAAGTATCACTCTAAAATTAGGCAAATCACCTACCTGCCTTACATATAAAACAAAGATCTCCCTAATGATTTTATGCCTTGTTTTGCATATTCAAGCAGTTTTTTTTTATTTTATTTTATTTTTTTTTTGGTTTTACGAGACAGGGTTTCTCTGTATTGTTTTGGAGGCTATCGGTCCAGCCCAGCCTCGAACTCACAGAGATCCGCCTGCCTCTGCCTCCCGAGTGCTGGGATTAAAGGCGTGTGCCACCACCGCCCGGCTCAAGCAGTCTTTAAGAGACATCAAAGTTTCACCTCAGTGATTATTTCTTATGAACACATGTGTCTCCCATTAAGTGATCCTTGTAGGTTAAGTCATTTAGTAAGAAACCTCCCTTCACAGAGTATATCCATGATAAAGAGCTTTGATCCCAACAGTTAATAATAGGTCAGTTTGTTTCAAACTCCATGTCTCAGAACCACAGCTGCTTCATGACAAACCAATCAAAGAATAAGAAATGGCACCTACAGAAGTAGGCCTTCAGAAACACAACCTTTGATAGCACAGACTCTCTCAAACTAAGGGTACTTAGAATGAAAACAGGATGCGTAAAATAATTTTACCTCTTAAGTTTTGAGAGAGTTAGAATTGTATGAAAAAGAAAAAACTTAGTGTCAGTTGGCTGTAATCAGCTTATCCAGAACACAGTTAAAAAACAAGACTTGCTATTCATAGCCCAAAGTTTACTCTGCTGTAGAAGTAATAAACATTTCATGAGGAAAACAGTTAATTCTCTGAGAGTTAAGGGGTCCCTAATTCTAAAATACCCCCCAACTGGGGGTTTTAACATTGACTTATCAGGATAAGCCACGAAAAACTGTAGCCTACCACAAGAGAAAGAGTTTAAGTATTAAATAACTTGAAAGGACCAAGTAGACAAAATTTACTTGTTAGTAGGAGTTAAGATCTACAAGACCAGATCCCTAACTGTATATTCATTATTGTTTAGATTTGGATTCAACAAGTCAAGACATTGAATCTTTCTTGCCAGCACCCCACTACTAATTTCAAATGTGTTTGAAAGTTCGAGGTCTCATTAGTTAAAGCCTGGTAATGAAGACTACGTTTAAATTCATGTGGAAGAGGAATTGGCAGCTTTTAACTAGCCAGGACAATGGCAGCCAGCTGTGTCAGGGCCCTGTAGTTTTCAACAAAGGGAAAGTAGACCCAGGTACAATTACAGCCTAAAATCTAGTAATACTTTCATTCTCAAAAAACGAAATTGGACGTTCCCCCCATCATCTGCAATACTAAGGCCCAAGTTTTGTATTTTTCCTATTACACTTGGGTGGGTTTTTTGTTTTTATTTTGTTAGTGTTTTGTTTTGTTTTGTTTTTAAGAGGACAAACCCACATTTTCATGAACGTGGCCTGGAAGGTAGTGTGCAGACGCCAATGGGAAGTTCACACAAAGCAAATTGTAGAAAATAGGAAAAGTAGAGCAATGGTATGGACGGCTTCCCGGTTCCTCCCGGACCTTATCCCCAGCGCAGCGCAGTGAGTGACAGGGATAGGGATCCCAGGCCTTTGCTTCTGGACAGCTCTGTCCAGGCCTTACCGGTAGCCGCTCGGGCCACCGGGCAGGGTAGCCCGAGTGCACTCACCGTCGGGCGTCGGAGCAGCGCCATGAGGGCCGCGCTGGGACGGACGGACTCAGCACAGCCACCCGAGTCCGCAGCGCCGTTGGGCGACTCAGGATCTCGCTGCTTCCCTACTCCACGGCCCGGTCACCGATTCAAATACCGCGCCGCTCGCGCTCCATTGGGCAGCAGCACGCACGGCGCACTCTCCCTATTGGCTAAGCCGAGAGGCCTTTCTGCACCCTGATTGGCTGCTTGCTATTTTCTTGTCATGGAAACCAGCGAGGACGCAGGGCTTTGTAGTTTCCTTGCCTACAGTTTTATTTTTAAATCCCAGTCCCTGAGATAAACAAAATAATTTTTCCTCCCACTGGAAAAGCTAATCTGAATTTTGACAAAAAAGTTCATCTACGGACAGATATCTTTAGAAGTTTGTTCTGGGTGGGTAGAAGTGGGCTCTAGGGAACATCCTGGAACTCCTACTTCTGACCTTGCTTCCTCTTCTGGAAACTTCTACTAGGGAGTTAGGATTGGGTTCCCCTGGAGAATAGAGCCTTCGTGTCCAGGTCGTTCAGGATTGCACGATGACTGAGAATCGACCGTGGCTTTCCTAAAACAACGGATCCCCAGCAGAGGCACAAATCAAACTAAAAGTGATTTGTGTGACCCTAGCATACTGTTCGCGGCCAGACTCAGAATTAGTTGTCAAGTGACAGACAGGGTAATGTGCACAAGGTGTCGACAAGAAAAACAAGGTGTATCCCGAGTTGTGAACAGTGAGAGAAGAGGCTAAAGAACAGAATGTTACCCTGGGGAAAAGAAGGTGGTCAAGGCAGAGAAAGAAGACTTAAGTGGGGAGCCCTTGCTTAGTGGTATGATACATGTGCAGAGCTCTGAAGTTTTCAGTACAGAGGAAAGAAAATCAAAACACAGAAGCCGGGTAGTACTGGTGCACGCCTTTAATCCCAGCACTCGGGAGGCAGAGGCAGGTGGATCTCTTTGAGTCCGAGGCTAACATGGTCAACAAAGTAAGTTCCAGGGCAGTCAGAACTCCACACAGAGAGACCCCCTTCTCAAAAAACAAAACCAAAACAAACAAACAAAAACCCAAACAGAAAACGGTCCAGTGCCCAGATAGCAGAACCATGTGAGGTCAGGCTCTACTTGACACTTGACTCAAATCAGGCTTCCTCATCACTCTCTTGTTTTAATTCAAGTCTCTTCTGTTTGGGAAATACAAACACTGGTTGGAGAGCCTTAAATAAAGCTAACGACCAGGACAGATCCTCCCCTTTTACCCAAATCCACTGTAGCATATTTGACATTTCCAATCTGAGTCTAAGGGCAGGAAGAACCAGTGTCTCTTCCACCTGGAAAACAGGCTGGTGGAATTGTTCCTCCCTCTAAATTACACAAGGATATGGGAAAATCAAAGGAGCAGAAACAGCTATTTAAATTCTATTAATTTCATTCTCTTAAATACCTCTGACTCCTTTAGCCATCATCCTTGATATCAAAGATGTCACAAACAGCCTTCTCTTCCTGCCAAGTTTTGGGTTGGGTTGGGGAAGAAACTATGCTTAGTAATTTGAACTATGGCTCATGCCTGTAATTCCAGCTTCTTGGGACGGCTAAGACCCCTTAAAGCTCATGATTTCAGTACCAGCTTAGCAACACAGTGAGACCCCCATCTCTAAATAAAAGGAACCATTTTAACAAAACAATGGGTTTTGCCTTAAATTACTGTGATCAACTTTAAAGAGGGTCTCATATATCTCAAGTTGATTTACAACTTTCTTTGTAGTTGAGGGTGACCATAAATTTCTAATCTCCTTGCCTCTACCTCTTGAGTGGGATGGGTTACTACCACGCCTAGTTTACATGGCACAGGTCAGAGCCCAGGGCTTCCTGAGTGCTAGAGACTACCATCTGAGCTACACGGCCAGCCTCTACTGTGTTAGATTTAAGGTGCCTAAATTGTGTTGGTTTGGAGGCCTTCTACCACCCCCTCCCATCTTAGCTAGCCTTGATAATCTCTTGGCCAACAGGATGACAAAATAGATGGCACTTCAATTCCCGACTTAAGTCTAAGGAGAACTGGCAGCTTCAGGATTCCTGACCAACTTTGTAAAAGTCTGTTCCAGTAGCACTCCCAAGTTGAATGCAGACACTGGAAGGCCACAGTGACTCCATTAGCCCTAACCAAATTGAGCATCTGTGAGCAAACAAAAGTGTCTGAATGATGTCCTTCTGTGTGCTGTGAATATGTTTCTCTTACTAGTTGGTGAATAAATGCTGATTGGCCAGTAAACAGGCAGGAAGTATTGGTGGGGTTACCAGACTAGGAATGATGGGAGGAGAGTCAGGAAAGAGATGCCATGTAGTCACCAAAGGAGTACCATGCTGAAACATTACAGGTAAGCCACAGCCTTGTGGCAATACATAGCTTAACAGAAATGGATTAATAATTGAGAGAGCTAGCAAATAAGACACCTGAGCCATTGACCAAACAGTTTACAATTAATATAAGCTTCTATGTGTTTACTTGGAACTAAAGGGATGCAAGACCAGGCAGGGGAAAAAAACTCCCTCTTCACCTGAACCCACATCTTGTGGTAGTTTGTCACAAAACACATGACAGATATATTTATCTGGGGTATTTCTGTGACCTACAGTAAGCCTTTTATCTCAGGCCATCTATATGTTCTTGCCTTCTCTTAGGATCACAATTTAATCGAAAGAACATACTTTAGTGGTTGGAACATGGGATCTCTTTAAAATCTGAATTCTCAATGCTGTCTTGGTGATTTGAATGGAAAAACTGAGTGCACATGCATTTCCAGATGTTTTACCATTTGATTGAGTCTTGAGGGTAAGTTTATCCAACATGGAAGCAAGAATCAGAATCAGAACACTGAGAAGTCCTGACACCAGCTAGAGGGAATGTTTACCTACAAAAGGCAGTATGTCCAGAGCAAGGTCTTGGCAAGAAACCTACATTTAAAACACTAGATATCCAAAATGGCATGGCTCTGGCCAACAGGAAGCAACTGGAGAGGGTGCCCAATGTTGACCTATAACCTCTGTACACTCATGCATACCACCACCACCACCACCACATACAAAATGTAATTTTGCAGCAGAGGACATCAATTCTCACCTTCAGCAGTAGCTGACTATGACATAGTATTAAGCAATGCTTCTGCACACTGCTGCTTTGCAGTGTGAAGCAAAAGACATAGACTAGAATCCTCTGTGGCCATAGGTTAAAAGGAAACTAATGCCCTTGTGAATGCCAAAGGGGACTGTTTCTGCCCATTTAGTGACTACTTGCTTGGACACGATGCAGGAAAAATGTTAGCAGCATCTCATGAAAATACATTTGCTTTGAAAAGCCAAACATTTGGGGATCAAAGCAATAATTTGTATTATCTTTTTAAGATTTATTTTTATCACTGTGTACTTCTGTGTGGTATAGTAGACAATTCCAGCTTTATATAGGCAGAGGGTAGATGGATGTCTGAGTTTTGAGGCCTGCCTGGTATACATAATGAGTTCCAAACCAGGACTTAAATAGTGAGATCCCATCTCAAACAAAACAAGCTGAATGAATCAGTATCAGTTATAAAACAGGGCAACAAGTATGTAGCTAAACCACATATATGTGTGAGAGAAATCTAATGTTTTCTTATGTTCTGAAAAACACTAGAGGATTAGCATAGCAGTGGTGGTGTATGCCTTTAATCCTAGCACTCAGTTGGCCAGCCTGGTCTACAGAGCAGGTTCCAGGATAGTCAAGTTGCACAGAGAAATCCTGTCTTGAAAAAAACAAATAAGATATGCATGTATGTTCATGCAGGTGTATACACATGAGTGTGGGTTCCCGCAGAGGCCAAAGGTGTGGAACTGAAGGCCCTCTGGAAGACAGTGTCCAGTCTTTATGCTGAGTCATCTCTCTACAGATCCGTCTCTTTTCACGTGTGTTCTCAAGCGCTCGTACAGACCCAGGCTCTTTAACGACAATCTTATATGCATCAGTCTACTTTTTGGCTTCTCCCCAGTGAGGTAGCAGACCTGGGTCACTGTTCCACTCTTTCATGGCCTTCTATAATGTAGACTGGTAATTAAATATACTTAATATTTTCTTAAAAGATTTATTATATATACAGTGATCTGCCTGCACGTATCCCTGCACGCCAGAAGAGGGCACAAAATCTCAATACAGATGGTTGTGAGCCACCATGGGGTTGCTGAGAATTGAACTCAGGACCCTGCTGAGTCATCTCTCCAGTCCTCAAATACACTTCTTTTGTTCTCTTTTTGTAGTGTCAGCCATGGAATTCAGGATGCCTGCAGTTTGGAAATGTTTCATAATCAGGCTACACTCTGGCTCACAAATATACTCTATCAACCCTCCATCTGCATGTATACTCTGTAGACACATGTTGATAATGAAATTACTCTATTGTGACACTTACTAATATAAAAGGCAAAACTGAATGAAACAAGCACCAGATTATGCAAATACCAGTTACGTGGATCTCATCTGAACTCCAAAATGGCCAATGTAAACCATTTTATAAACACTAATTATGAAACACAAAGACAATAGAAATATAAGTTATTTATTAATCAATCCACTTACAAAGCAGGTGGCTTAATGCAAGCTTATTGACATCTTCACATATGATCCATGGGAACATGTCTTCCACATACAGACAGTGGTATTACTGACTGGATGCATTTGCAATCTTGGGCATATTAAGCATTATTTAAACAAATAAAATTAGGCTATCCTGTATATGAAAGTATCTTGATAATATGCATCCTGAAGTGGATTAAAACTTCCTCCAAAGGAGAAATGTTAGTATGTTAACTTTTATTACTCTATATTATGTTGTAAATCTTAACTATAGAAATTAAAAATTTTTTAATCAGTGATCGACTCTTGGTAATGTCTGAAGTGGGTGTCTATAACCATAGCCAACAGTAGCCTGACAATATAATCTGTGCCTCACAGTATCTGCAGATTTCTTATTTTCAAGTTTAGAGAGAAATAAAACAAGAGACATGTAGATTCAGCTGACTTTATTTAAACTATAAAAAAAAATCCCTTAAAAGTGA